GCAGAGTAAATTCGTCTTGAGTACAGAGAAAATGGATGTAAGTTCGAAAAAAAAGTGATATTTATACCTATATTTTGTTTACAAATAGTTTGTGAGGACGATGAAGAAGTACTGGGTAAATACTTTCTTAAGAATGCGTTTACTAAAAGTTAAAAGGTGCTTTCACATCAAGCTTTTTGATTTAAGAGATAATGATGAATGTATTTATTTTAATTATATTCGTATGAGTATATGCTCATTTGATGAACTGAATGTCATGCTTAAATAAAAGAAGATCATTTCGGGAGGCTCCTTTATTTCTTTTATGCATAATTCTGTGTCGAATTGCTCATCGCTCATAGCTGCAACGTTTTTTTACCATCTTTCGTGTGTACTTCTTGATACAAACTAATATATCTTTGCAACGCACACGTACCGCTGAAACGTGGCGTCGAGAAGGTACAGAGCCGCGGTATTTTTGCAGTCGCGTTATTGACCTTCCATGACATTGACGTAACGTCGATGTTGCATTGTGTGAACCCTCTGACTTCATTGAATGTATTTCGATGTTGCTCGACGAATGCCGTTGCGTCGACGCGACTGCAACAAACGTTTGTGGACACCGGCTCTATGTTAAAAATTGCTCACTTTTTATACTAATACTAATAGTGTCAAAGTTCTTCTTGTAGACAAACAGTAGAATAAAAAATGAAACGTTGCCAAGTCGCTCTCTAGTTTCCTTAAATATTTTAAAACTTTTTATTGCTGAATTTCATATACATCTTAAATTTTAACCAAGCAATAGATAGGTATCTGTTAAATTTGCATTAGGTACACCTAGCTAAAATAGCCAGCCATAATTTTTTTATGATATACTTGATATAATACTTAAGAATCTTTAAATTATGTTCAAACTGGTCATAGTATTTCTTTGTAAATTAATAATTTATTATCTATTGCCAGTTTTGATTTTCTATTCATAAGCCAGTACAGTTTTCTATATTTTATACCATGTTCTTCGCATTTTTTTCTTTATATATTCTTTCTATTTCAGTTTATTATCTAGGTTCATGTCTAGATATTTTGCTGTGTTTGAATATGGTATAATGTTAATACAACTACTTGATATTCTAATGTTTTTTTGTTTGTGAAGTTTATATGTACTGTTTTGGTTTCGTTGAGTTTAATGCGCCACTTTGTTGTCCATTTTTTTATCCATTCATTTTAATCCATTCCATCTTATTTGTTGCTTCTTGCAACTTTCTACTTGATTCTTCTATGGTATCTCCAATAGCTAGAATAGCTGTATCATCGGTAAATTTCTACTTTAGTTTTCTTTCTGCTACATTCGGAGTCTGCCAGGTTTATTACCAGTAATTATTGTTGGTACATTTTCACACCACTTCTTAAGCATTACCGTTAAGATCTTTTTAAGTGTTGTTTCACCAGTAGCTTTATGTGACCACAGGGTGGTCCGTAATTACTGGTCTATAACGTAGTAATGATGGTGATGGTGATATTACGACCTGATTTAACCCTATTCTATAATAAATTACTGAAAAATTCGGAGTAAAGAAAAGTGTTTGCAAAATCGGTTTTTTTAATTCTCGATAAATTATTCTATCTGAAACTTTCAATATTTTCCAAAGGAACTTTACCGCCTCATCGACTATATAACCTGTAATTCTCTTTATTTATTTCTGAGTTATCCTGAATACAGATACACAGATATTCAAGGTCGAAAAAATAATGATTGCTATACTTTCCTTACTGGATACAGAAAAGTAAAAATATTCCTTAGGAGCATTCCACTATAAATACTATCTAATTTGTGCCCATATCATATAACCAATGAGTAATTTTATTCAAACTTAAATTACTACGTTTGAAGACAGGAAAAAGGTCTTATATACAATAATTCTCAGTATCCAATAACTTAATTACAGTAGATTAACGTGTACATAAATATGCTGCATTTTTTCTTGTAATTTAATGTATTCCTGGTTGCATATTGGTAGTGTTCTAGTTTTAGTATTATTAACACCTGATGCGTAGGCCACCAGGAATACATTGTTACATTTTTAAGGTTATGTGAAGGAGATAATTATTGTCAGAGATATTGATTGTAGGTCACATACTTTGAACTCAAAGTATGTGTTGTAGGTACATATACTATAAAGTTAATAAAGATATTGTTGGTTGAATAGTTAGAAACTTATTATATGACGCATTTTGTTACATTAACACTATTTCAATAACTCAAAGAGTTTTATCTCTTATTAGTATTCTTTTGTGTTTTTGATGGTCATGGTTTCTAAAAAATCAAGGGGCATTAACGATGTTCCTCAGCTCTTTATTCTGGAAGCACTATATTATTTCAATGTTGCCAACTTTTCCTAGGCTATTACACGTTGGGCATCAATGTGTTACCTTCTTTTAGATTTCTACGATGTAAATTGTACTTGAGAGGTGATTTAGCTCAACTTGCTGATACTGCGTGGATTCATAAATTGACCAGGACAAATGAAATCAGAGTAGCTTGACCGGTTCGAGAGCCAAAGTCTACTTTACGATAAAATGAAAGATATTACAATAAGATAACGACAAAAAAATGTTTAGCGCCACCAAGTGTTTGAGTACCTAACTTATATGATATGTCCTGTTTAATTGAGTCAGTCTCTGGTACTTAAAGTTATCTCTATAAGTTCTGGAAAATAAAAGAAAGTAAGAAAATTTAATACATTTAATAAAAAAAATAAAAAGTGTGAAATTTTACAAATAATAAATTAAGAGTTAGGTAGTGATTAAACCTGAATAGAAAATAAATGAAAATTGACTGATAGTTTATATGAATGAATAAAATTTACTGTTAGATAATTAGATAATTATTAATTGTCCCGACCATGTGACATTCTAGTACGGTAAGTACGGTACTTCTCTTTTGTATGTCGTGTCGTTGACAATCCGCCTTTAGGGACTTCGATACTTGGGGCTTGGAGCTCGGAACTTGGAGTAACTACGTAACTCGGACTTCATGTTTCTTAGAGCTTAGATCTTACAAAATAACACCCTATATAAGAAATGTATACTGCGCAATATTTTTTCGCCAAAATACTATATTGAGTGGTACTTTTAGAAAATATGCTTCCCTGACGTCACAGTAGAAATAGTGAGTTTTTGCAAAAAAACTCCAACATACATATGTAAATAACCCTGTAATTAAAAATGTAATTAAAAATTCCGAAGAACTGGGCATTTTCAACTTTATATCAAAAACTAGTCATAGGATTGAGTTGGGCCCATTGACACTTTTAGTTACTAGGTTGAGTACGACAACATACCAAAGTTTCTGAAAATTTGTCTGGTCGCCACTTTACAAGAAAAGTGCGGGGTCCTTTTCAATTTAGGCTTTAATCCATCCTGCGGTAAAATGATAAAATATATGTGTTATTTACGCTTAGAGAAAAAAATTTTTTTTTAAATAAATGTTGCTTGTAATGTTATTCTTTATAATTTTTGTTATATACATAATTTTCTTAACATGACCCGTATAGAAATTTGACAAAAAGTGCAAAATTAAATTTTTAAGAAAATTGTTAAACTAAAAGTTATTTACGATATCGATCTTTACAATTTTTGTTTCATGATTTCTCTAAAATGGACTGTAATAGACAATTTGAGAAAAAGTGTAAAATTTTAATTTTTCAGTATTTTCGTTGGCAATAAATATGTATAAAAAAATGTTTCGAGTAAGATGTATGTGGAAAATGTATATATTTTTTGTTTATCCTTAAAATATTTACAGGGGCGATACAATAGGTTGTACAAAATAACCGGAAAAAACCTGTAATAACTAGATAGTTATGTATTGGACACGTCAGATATTTACGTAGGTTCTCCAGGGTAGCTTTGTGTCCAAATATTTTGCTGCATTAGCTAAAGGTATTTGCGTATGATAACTGGATGATAACTAAAATATGGTGTTTCCTTTTATTTGTAAAATTTAGTTATTAATATATTAAAAAAAGTAGCGGTCTCAAAACAGAGCCGTGAGGAACACCTCTGCTAAGAAAAATACAATCTCAATATAATTTTTACCAACTACACTTGGACTTCAATTTGACAAATAAGATTTCATCCTTTCAAAAGCCATACTACTGAAAACCTATTGTTCAAATTTACTAAATACTTCCTATGTTCTATGATCTACACAGTCAACTGTTACAGCAACTGACTTTTTATTTGATTCCAGATATAATTTCTCTAGGAAAATCAATATGGCATTGTTGCATTTTTATCAGATTGGAAACTAAATCAGAGGAGGATTTTGTGAAAACTAAAAAAAAAATCAAGTTAACATTGACATAATGTATGATTTTAAGAAAATGAAGCGTTTATTTGAAAAACAACACATGTCCAAAAATAAACTTTTTGGGAAATCAAGAAAAACTGCTTAAGTATGCATTTTTGTAACGATGCTTTTTTAAAATAATGCTTAAGCCAGAAATATTTATTTTGGTTGAAAATACAAAACATACGAAAAATTTACGAATATTTGGAAAAGTAACACATGTCCTTATTAAAAAAAAACACATATTTTATTCTCCACCGCTGATGTTATCGTCATTAATGATTTCAATATCTGAAGATTTTTTCCCTCCATCTATTTGTGGGTTCAGGTTAGGGTAAAATTCTTTATTAAGAGGATTCTTAAGATATTTAGTGAGTTTCATTTAGTCTCGAAACTTCACATTGCTTATTTGAGGTTGCCGTTTGTTTGGTATTAGAGCTATTTCTTGTGAGTTTCTTTTCCCTGCAATGGTATGAAACGTCCAACGACCATGATAACTTTGACGTACTAGAACCTGACCCGGATACTGCTGTGATACCCGATACATTCGCGCTGGTTTCAGTAAAATTTTTGGTTTGGGATTTTTCAAAAAAAAAAGAATTTCAAACTTTCGTCCATAAGAAGCCATTCAGTCTCTTTTCCAGTATTTATCACCCTGAATGGAGAGGGCTTACATTTTGTCTGTCGTATAAGGTCGTTCCATTCTTCTGGAGGCTATATGTGGTGGACCAGTTCTGTTTATATTTGGATCAATTCGGCTGCGACGCCTCTGGACAGGTATTACGCTAACAAGTCCAGATAAGTATGAAACCTGTTCAACTTTTGACTTTATACCATCAAACATGTTAAGCAACTCGGAACGCCGTTCTTGTGTTGTAATCTGGAAACATCTATAACGCTTGCATCTATAACCAAAAGTTACAGTCAAAACAAAAGTATGTACTTATTGTTACACTAAAAACTTACCTACAGTCAGTTTCTATTGCTCTGGCTGTAACGACTTTGTCTCTCTTATGTGTTTTGTGCTCTAGCCCGCTTACTTGTGCCTTTTTTATAATTTCCCAACTATAAATTTTCTTTTTTTGTTTTCGTGGTTGATCTGTACCCCAAACTTTACAATTTTCGTCATCAACAACACCAGAGGTATTAGATTGAATATTTTCTGCCATATTTAGATACTATTAATACTTAAAATCGGTCAAAAAATGCAAAATACTACTCAGAAAGTAAAACGATTACGGCCATTACAAAATATAAAAAACAACAACAACAACAACAACAACAACAACAACAACAACAACAACAACAACAACAACAACAACAACAACAACAACAACAACAACAACAACAACAACAACAACAACAACATTTAGTTATCTCAGAACTAAACTATCTATATGTGGACATGTGTTGTTTTTACAACAAACTGCGTGGACATCAGGTGTTCTTCTAAAACTAGATATACTTTGGCACTAGTTTTAACCCGGACAACTGGTGTTTTTACAGTATTGGATGCTTGAAATATATGTAGGTACATATTATTTTTCTATGAGAATAACTGAAGCCAAAATTTCATTCAAATGGACATGTGTTATTTTTCAAATAAACGCTTCAAATGTTTTCAAAGTTTATTGATATTTCGATGGTGTAAGCGTCTAATAATATTAAAAAGAAAATGTTCGTTATTTATTGAAACAAAACCACTTTAAAGGAATGTGACTTAGAAATGAAACTACAAATCATTAATGAGAAACAAAATAAATTGTTTCTACAGAAAGACATAAATGAAAATTACATCCCTAGAATTTAATATGTATAATTTGTAAGAAGCATTGTGTTAAATTGCTGTAGACATCTGAAATGAAGCAATTTCAGCATGATAGCGTCAATAAACATAAAACTGTACAGTGTGTACAGGTCTATTATTTCACCGTAGACTTTAGAAACAACGAAGAACAAAATACTGTGTGTTTGGGAAAAGTAAGATATACAAAGTGGACCAAAAATATCCAGCAATTCTTCTACCTAAATATAGATATACTTTCTCTAATGAACCTATGTGAAAGGGCTTAAGAGGAATACATACCCAGACCCAAATATAGTCAGCTGTAATACCTGCAAACTTTAGAGAAAGATAAACCGAGTATTTTCAATCAAATAATTTATTTTTGAAATTGTTGCATTTAAGAACCCCCTCGTATCTCCGTTATCATTCAACTTATCGAAATGGTAAAATAACATTCTTATAGTTTTTATTTGTAGAATGCAGTGGTGCAGATAATTTTTGTTACTTAGTTGACTATTTTTGAGTTATAAAGCAAACTTATGTTTTTTAAATGGAACACCATGTATATTTGTAGACTATAAAATTTGTCTTTTTTTACCTTAAATGCATAATTTTATAGCAGGCCATTGATATTGTTTAAGACAAGAAACAAACATAAATGTTTTGGAATTATATTTCCAAAGGTAAATAAGCTCTTATGGCTATGACAATTTATATTATGTTTTAAATTTTTTCCTGTTAGATATCCAGAAAGAAGGTAACCGTTTTTTGAGATATTTGCTCGTTTAAAAGCAAATTTAGTTGAACACGGATTATTTGTTCACCCGCGTCCTAAAACATACAACAAAATGAACAAGGAAAGAAAAGAGATAGATACTTAGGGATATATAGAAGCAACATCTTTTCGATCAATTGAAGGATGACGGAGATACGAGGGGGGTCCCAAAATGCAACATTTTCAAAAATGCCCTGTTTATTAAAAATTGAAAGGGCTATGAAAAGTTTGTTAACGGTACCTTTAGTTTTACGAAAAACGCAACCCTTTATCTGTAAAAATAACGGAGATACCCAGCAAAAGTACCCAAAATGGATACAGTCCATCGATTTGGTCCTTAACTTAACGTGAATTGCTCGATCTGACTCCCATCTAGTCTCTCCTCTTCTGTTCTCTTTTGTCTAATGTGAAGACGAAGAGTGAAATGAGCTGATTAAATCTTGTCTTTAGATCAGAACTGTGCGTTTTGGCCTGCAGGTCATATCGGAGCCTGTAGGGCCTCTATTTGTCATGAAGAACGTTTTATGAAGAATAACTTTTAATAATAATTTTAGGAAAAAAATTTATTCATCATAAAAATTGTGCATGGTCTAAAACCTAAAATACATCCATCAGATATCAAATTTTATGAGTCGTATATGAGGTTTGTCAACAATTAATGTACTTTATTCTTGAGCTAAAATAGCATTATTACGATGGATCACTCGAGGTTGGTAGAAAAAATTCCAACAAAGTCATGGAATAAAGAGCAAAATAAAGACGTTTTAATGACCATGATTTTTATTTTCAAGAAAACTATACAAAGAATAGCTACTTGAAGTATTTGCTACTATAAAATTACCTACAAGGTACGTTACAGATGAGATAACCAAAGAAAAAGGACACGAAGTTTTAAGGTTCCGCCTAATTTTTGCGATTGAATCCTATTAACTGATTTGGAGCTAAAAAATGGATACGTCGAAGAAAAGTAAATTCAGAATTCGCTATTAGTGCAATAGAATTCATAAAAGAAGATGTTGCAAATATTTCAGAGGTTAATTGGCAAAAGAAAATAAAAACAATTGTTACAAAGAAAGTACAGTGGGAATATTGAAAAACAAATTTTTATAGATTTACAAGAAAAAAGGAAACTGAAGAAGAAGAAGAAAATGAAAAAAACATAAACAACCAGAATTTGGTGATTATACTTATTGGGAATGAATCTATTGAAAATAGTAACATTTAAACAATTTTGCTTCCTGGCGTGAAGGTATATATTTTAGCAAGGTGTCATTTTTTAATTTTTCATATCGTTCGTGTTAAAACGTAAAACGGCTATAATCAATATTAGTATATCTACATATAACACAAAATTGTATGAATAAAAAATGTTTAATCCAGATTTGCCTAAGCGAAATAATCTGTGCGAGTAGGAGACTTGTTTTTGTATAATTTTTTCTTCGCCAATAATTATTGAATAGAAATATTATACTATATCCTGTAGCTAACGATTAGCAGCAGAATTAGCGTTACCTGGATACTCAAAGTTGAAATCATGTCATTAATTTCTCAAAACTGTATAATTTGCCATTATTAAATTTAATTTTAACTTCTAACTAGTTACAAATTGTCAAAAAAGAACTATTACATAATTACAGACTACTAAGATGCAAATAAAATACTTATTATTTTTTTTGCATCTTATGAGACCATAATAATTATTTTATTACTGGTCTCTATTAATTATCGAAAGATAAACACGTATATTTTTTAATTTAAATTATTCGAAAACTACTAATTTTTGACGATCTTCGGAAAATTTTACTTTAATAATATATATTTTTCAAAAATATTAATACCAAAAAAATATGCCCGAAAAGGGCAACTCACCATTTGAAAACCACCTTTAGTGAATCAAAAGAATAGCGTATCTTAACCCCTTAAATTAATTTAATCTGTTTTTCGGTTCGAAAGATGTTCCAGAAAAACTAGTTGTCTTTAAGTCCTTTCTAGAAGTTGCAGTGCCATTATTAAGCGGTTTTGCACATAGGTCTTTTTAGGTTTTCTATTACCCCTAGAAATATTACTAGATCTTTTTGGTCCACCTTGTATATGTAGAATAAAAAGTATTTCAACGAGAAAGAAAACAATTTGGTTTATAGTTCAAAGAAACGAAACCAATTAAAAATAGAACAAAGCTGATAGATAAGATTCTTATTTTTTTTTTTTGAGAAGAATTTAATTTAATTTTTCCAATAAAGGTTACAACATCGGGCTACAAAAGCCTCTCTCTAAAACCAAGACGAGTAGAAGAAGAAAACTAATGAATCGCTGGAATGTAATTTTATTTAATTTCACATGATCAAAAATTAGGATCTATGGGTTTGCTATCGAATTATTATCACTTTACTGTCTTTGGTAATAATTCCCAACCACATAGAAAGAATTTAATGACATTTTTGTTTTAGTTATCTCTGCCTCATTTATGCTTTATTAAAATACCGCAGAGATTATGGTTGTAATGAATTCCTGCAAAATGTTATTATGGATAGTGACATTTTGTGCATAGCTTTCATGAATGCTTTATACCCAGCTAATAGAGGCCAGGATAAATGTGTAGTTTTAGTTAGAGATATTTTTATTTTACAATATCGGCATTTCAAAGAATCCAGTCGCACGGCACCCTGCAGAAAGGTACCAGACTTTTAAGTAGATAAAGAAAATACATTTCAATTATCAAACGTGGCCAAATAAAAAAGAAAGGACACAGAGTCCGTGTCACAGAAACATCGAGCGACAGTTTCCTTCATGAAAACAACTACTCCTCTGGCAAATACCGCAACAGGGATTACATTATATCAAAAGGAAAATGGCAGAGATATAATGGCTATTTATACAACCAGTTACGAAATGCCCTATTTTATGTAACGAGTGAATCTTTACGGGACGAGCAAAACGAGGGAGCGGGGAGAAAATTAATCAGCTCTCTCGCTCCCAGTTCTATAGTAATAATTTATGGTTAAAAGAACGTGGCCAGAGAGCGTAGATTTATTAATATGTCAACTTTTGGCTTTTACTCAATTTTCAGTTTTGGAGCTGTCTGTGTACAGCGCATAGTTCGCCTGAAAAAGGGTTTTATCCCCCCTGCTCTCTGGAATGAGGACGCTATATGACTTTTCAGTGGTGTCGGGGAGCTAGTGAGTCTGAGACCATGCTGAGGATGTGGTGGTTAATAGTCTTAACCATTAGCCCCACCTTGTTCCATCGTAGTTCTTCATTGCATTGACTAATCAGCTTCAGCAGTCTATAGGAGACCATCCTGGTCTTTTTTCTAGCAAAACCTGGAGAAGGGTAGGTCAAGTATAGTCTACATGGCTCCCGTTGGTACGGTTGACATTGCTCCTTGGGTTTTAACACTGATAAATCCAGTAGATCATTTGAAAACTGATTCCCCTTGCTTTATCGCATATCCTTCTGAGGGTCCAGAGGGATAATATGGCTTTGTTTATCGTTTTGTCCAATTGGTGATTTCAGGTGAGTGTCCTGTCTAAGATAATCCCCAGATATTTTACCTTCCCCGCAAAAGGAATAGTTTCCCGTGCCATGGTATGTTGTCAAAGCTTGTAGAG